TCAGCTTGCATGAATTTTTTTTATAGATTTTTCAATAAAGAAATTTTTGTTTCCACGGAAGTAGTTTAAGAATGATTAATCACTTAAATTTTGTTGTCTGAAACGTGTATGCTAAGAGTTTTTCTCTTGTGCATTTTTTATTATATTCAAGAATATAAATTTGAGCATGAAGTTATTTTTTGTGATATTCAAGTATATCATTAGATAAAAAAATCAATTATTGTTGTTAAAGTAAGATGATTAAATTGAATATAATATAATATATAATATAACATATAATAGAGTTTTTATGAAATATGAATTGTGGCCTAATTTATCTTTTCTTGAAGATCCATGATATTGAGATTGAGTATCTTGATTGAGATTGTGTATGATGAATAGATTTATCACTGAGAAAGAATTAGTAGATTGTCACTCTTATCTATGTAGTCCAAATGCATTATGGCTTGTTGCAAATCAAATGTTGGACAACAAAGTAAACACAATAATATCAGTTTATCAAAGACGCAAGATTTAATAGAAAAAATTGAGCCAATCATGTTTGACGGTAAATTCAATCTAATTGATGCATTAATCAAAATAGTTTTAATAATTTCAAGACAAATTGTGTTACTTTGCAAATTTCATATGAGAAGCCAAAATTGACTTCTATAGCAATTTTGTTATATATAATGTTTTGATTAATTCTAGTTTATAAGGGAGCATATTTTAGGCTTTTTTTGCAATTTATTAGAATAATTATATACATTATAAATATTATTGTCTTCACGACTTGAATTAAAGTACAGATTGTTAGTATTGAATTCAAGTTTATGTTAAGTTAAGTCAGTTTAATTTTGATTAGAATTATATTATGTTGTCATTGTAAAGGAGAGCTAGCAAAAGTTTTTGATGATTATTCGAGATTTTTATAAGTGAATTTTTTTTTTGGTTTCATGGACGAAGTGACATATCAAGTATTTCAATTGTCAGTGATTTGATGAATAGGCATGATCGATTGTTGATGACTATTTTTGTGTATTTTTTTTCTTTCAATTTACCTCAACATTATTCATATTTTTTAACATTTTAATTATTATTAAATAAATAATATTTAATTATATTTCTTAGAAGTATCAGACTGAAATTATTGTGGAAGTTTAGAAAAAGTGAAAATTTTGTTAGTTCAATAATGCATCTTGTCAGTTTTAAATTTTAAGATTATCAAATATTAAAACTTTGAAGTTGTGGGAATACATTTGAGATGTATGTTATTTCAATCATTTGATGAATGTTAAGTGAAACTTTGAAATTGTATCATAACTTTGAAATTTGTAGACATTTTCTTGATCAAATATTATCTCAAAACAAGTATCAAATAAATTTATTAAATCTTGAATTTTGTAAACACTACATAAGAATGAATATTTTTTATCGTTATCAAAATCTTAATTTAGAATAACATATAAATTGACATATGTTTTTATGATAATTTCAATTTTGCAATGATTATGTGTGTGTATACTACTCTAATATTGTGTTTTTGATGTAATAATAATACCTACTGTGATGCAATAAATTTTGTTGAATGATATTATACAATAGCTCTTGCCTAAGTATGCAACTAAAAAATGGAAGGATATTTGGCTAGTAGATGCGACTTTTAAACGAATCATTTTCTAATCGCTTGATACGGCCACAATGTAAAAAAAAACAAATTTAAAAACGACTCGATGAGTCTCAAAAATGCAAAATCGTAGGAAAGTTGAGGGACCAAAGTTGCTCAAGCTGGACAAGACAAGCTTGAAGAATTTGTTCAAGTCGACGATAAAATAGTGAATTAATTGCAATTGCAATTTTGAAACATGTTGAAAAGCTTTTGATAATGACAAAAATTGTTGAAAAAATCTGAAATATGACCTTCTTATCTCTTAAGTGTTAGATTTGGATTTGGAAAATGTATTTGAGCCACTTTAAAAGCAATTTGTGAATATAGAGGATAAATTAGTTTATTTTAAAGTTGAAGAAAAATCTGAGTAAAGTCATGATATGAGAAAGTTATTTGAATCTTTTCAAGGTAAGATTTGGATTCGACAAAAGCAAGATCCTTCAAAACTTGACTCAAATGATAATACATGACATGTCGAATCAAATAGATCTGAAATCTATTGTTTTGGAAATATAATGCGTAGTTAACCAAAATCCGTACTTAAATACTTGCTTACTTAGGCAAAATTCTAGTATTTATCACAGCTGAATATATGAACAAAAAAAATTATTGGATATGAATATAAGTGTTGTTTGCATTGTTTAGATGACTTTTATGATTGATTTTAATAAAATCATTAGAAGAATTGCAATTCCTAGATGTTGGATCAAAACTATCAATCTTATGAATGAAAAAGCCACTAAAAATGTGATTGTGATGCACATAAATTAGTGAAGAAATCTAGATTTATTGAAACTCATAATGATTTTTGGACAAACTTTTTTATATAATATGATATTGATTGTATTGAATTCTTCATGTTTTGAAAGTTGATATTGATTCTTATTTTACCTTTCATATGTTGTGATGTTGATTTGATTGTATATGTTAACGTCTTGAAAGTTAGAAAAAATATTGAGATGTTCATATGTGAAAAATTACATATTTTGGTATTTTATCAATATGTAATCTATGTGAATGTAAGTTATCTATGTTATTTCTTTGCAAGTCTCCATGCTTGAAGATCTTCGTTTTATCATGATTGAAGAATTTTGAACTCTAATTATGTATCTCTTCCTTAACAAGAGATGAAGTTACTCCTTGCCTAGATCAAAAATGTTTTTGCTATCACTATATTCTATGAATGTCTTACTAGTTTAGATTCAAAGAGGTTAAAATTGTATATTAAAGTACTCATATTACTATAAATATCTAATGTTTATTCTGATTTGAAGTATTGATAATTCACATGGCTAGAGTATTGATGTATATAGAAAAAAGTTCATGTTTTGACATAAACATATTTGATTTGGAACAACCATATAACGTTGGTGGATGTTATGCATATATAATATATATGAAAAACATTTTCAATATGATTGGATCCAATTTAAAGCTAATGCAAAATAGCATACAAGGTATGAAGTATTTGGATGTGCATAGCGGTAGGATTTATTTAACTTTAAATTTGGAATCCCTTACGACAATGTACATAAGATAGATGTGAGCTCTTTGTAACTGAAGTTTTAGAATTCTGAATGTCAATGGATGTTGAACTTTAACAACTAATGAAAGAATGTGTGCAATAGCTTGTTATAATAGGAGAAAATATTATCACACTCTTTATCTTGATGTGTAGCATATTTCAATCACTCTATATCCATTATTTTACTTATATCAATTTCAACACCGTTGTAGATTTATTAGTATTTTTCTATGAATGTAACCCATCTTACTTATATGACGTATTTCTAGCCCATCTTACCACCTATTGGCTTGATGGGGTCTTCAATCCTTTCGTGGCGTTACTTGTCCTTTTAGGTGTCAAATACAACTAGAAATAGTAGAGAAAACAACGCAAAAGTCCAGGAAACGGACCGAATGGCCAAATGAATGAGAAGTAGAGTTAGTAGAATCTTAGATACTAAAGATTCCGATTCTTGCCCGCATGCTGGCGAACATGCGGGCAAGATGGCGTGGGAAAATGGCCGACAGAACAGTCCTGGTGCGTAGTAGACACGTGAGCTGGACCTGAAGTTGACCTAGAATTACGTCCCACACTTCAACTGATGTTTGAATAACTAAGATACCAGATTTGATCAAGATATTAGTGACCATCAATTTTAGAATTTCAATCACATGAATGATGCTTGCTTGACGCATTCGTGGAGTTTGTTCCGTGGGTTTAATAATGACTCGTATGTCAAGTTGTCTTTGTACTGCAACCCCGGAAATCCTTTCAAGTCTTGTTTTCTATGCATAATCAAGGCTCGTAATGTATTAGATGCAGTACGCTATCAATCAGTTTCATTCCGAGGACATAATAACCAAAGCTTTTCGTTCAGAATGTGATCAGAAGGGAGTTAATATTTCAGTGGAACACCAAAGTTAGTTAGACAATTAGTCAAGGTTTGGATCTTCATGAAGGGCACTGCAAGCAAGTATGTAAACATGTGACGGACAACTTTCAAAGGAAAGAACGTAATCAGGAAAACAGGGGAAGGATAAGATTAAATAAATAAGAAGATAAAATGGATGAACGTCAGACGATCAAAAGTGGACATTGCGTGAGAGAAACGAATGCACGTGCTTCTATTAACAGCATCAGAGGGCCAGATGTGCAATGTAATACTTTCCATATGTTAGCTCCTGTCACCTGTCTGTCCGTCTGTCTGTCTGTCGCTCCAGTAAGCAAGGGGCCTACTCCCTGTTTCTCGTGGCTTCCTGTCTCCTTTGCCCGGTGTTTCTCTGTTTCCGGGCTGAGTCCCATTCACGCTCTCAGATCCCAGCTGCACGGTGGAAAATTTGCATGCGGATGTCTGGAGGTAAGTTACTCTACGAGCATGGGACTTTGCTCAAATCGCTCGTTGATATAGTGTAGCAACAAGAGTTAACAGTGTCCAACTTAAGAAGTTAAATCTGCGCTGTAGTGCGAATATGTTTGCAATTTTCTGATCTCGATTACCTTTTAAATTTTCAGACCTTTGATGAGCAAGGTTGTTCGGGATTGACGCAATCGAAAGACATAGAGAGTTGCGGGGGATTTGAAGCTGAATACTCAACCTGCCAACAGTGGGGATCGAAAGGATTGGCAGGGCCGGTGGAGAGGGTCGGAGTCCCCTGTTATCTGGCTTGCGCACGCAGCATATCTTGGAAGAGAAAAGTTGTGGAACCACTCCAATTCTTTGAACTACATCTGTGTTTATGGAATGGGATTGATTTGATCATGGATTGGACTGGCGTGTTACAATAAAATCAGGCACCGAAATACAGATATTGAGTGATTGTGTCTGAAACAGAATTGATTCGCCTGCCTCTTGAATTTGAAAGCTAGTTTGGAATTCAAAACGAACCTTGAACTTTAAATCAGCCATGGGAATCTCCGTAGTTGTGTCAGTCCCATCGGCGGTTCTTTTAGGTTCGTTCCTGGGATTGAGGAACAATGCATCACCTTTCATTCTCTTTCCCATGTTGCAAGCTTCGCTCGTGGGTTTTACTGCCGCAATAGCAGCCTCTCCATATGTGAATAAGCCTTACTTGTTTGGGAAAACTGCCCTCGGGGATTTCCCCTGGTGGTCTTACGCCATTTTCCACCCCTATCTATTCGGTCTCAGAACCTATGTTATACTCAGAAGGATGAGAAACGGGGAAGCTGTGTATAATCAAGTCAGCCCAGGTTTGTTTGTCGGTGGCTGGCCTTCTGGACCAAATGATTTGCCGCCGGGAAATCCAGCTGTGGTAGATTGCACCTGCGAGTTGCCCAGACCAGCACACTCAGATCCACGTGAGTATTTGAACATTCCCACTTGGGATACAAGAGGACCACGACCTGAAGACATTGAGAAAGCAGTTCGATGGGCAGTGAAAAAGAGAGAGCAAGAGCGTCCTGTCTACGTCCATTGCGCTTTCGGTGAGTTATCTTTTTTCTGAACTAGATTTTGGTCTCTCTTTTCCCTCGTGCCTTTGCATACATGATGTGTATCCCTCTAGGTCATCCAGTTTTGTGGTGTAACTTGCTTTGGTAGTTTTTGGGTAACTTGATTACCTTTATGAAATTCTGACTAATTTTTAACATTCGCGACTCATATCTATAAGATCTTTTCTACTAACATAATAATTATCACGAGGGGAGGTCTTAAGAAGATTACAATTCGTACTTCCATGGATTATCCGATCTGAAGCTCTCGACATGTTATGTTACTTCAGATGGAAGTCAGGTTGAATGTAGGAGGCGAATTATGTGTTCCAGTTGTAGATGGTTGGTATTTGTTGGTTGGGTGCAGTTTTTAGGACAAACTGGCTTGTGAAGACTCTAGATCACTGAGGCGTTTCCAATGAGACGCAGGTCATAAATAGGTTCACGCACGTGATATTCTTTACGAGTTTGTCTGGTCGGGCAACGGACCACAAAATTCTGATTTGCTTGGTCAAAAGTTCTCAATGTTCGAGGAAATTACGTCATCACTATCTGCTGCCTTGAGGTCATCGGCTGGTACTATCAGAATAGGTTGAATTTAGTTTACTCGATTATCACGCTCGTCACGGACTCATTATGTGAGTTATTTAACGTGCAGGACATGGCCGCAGCGTAGCTGTTATGTGTGCATTGATGGTAGCTTTGGGCTTGACCGAATCATGGAGCAACGCGGAGAAGATAATTCAACGCCATAGACCCCGAGCACGTTTGAACAAAGCTCAAAGGGAGAGTCTACAACAGTGGAGTAAGTTTCGACGCACTAGTTCCGTCCACTAGGTATAAACTTGCTGTGAGGAGAGGAGCTGTTGTCATCTGGTTCTAGTTGGAGTCCGGCAGGTCATAATTTTGAACAGAAAGCCGTCCCCCGTTTGGTTATTGTGAGGTCGATCGAGCTCATGGGAGTGGCGAAATGGGATATGTACATGCTTGGTGATGATTATTCAACCAGGCTGTTTCACAGCACATGTGTAATTTCAGTCAGAATAAGCTGCAACTTGCTCTCCGTCCAAATTCGGTTGTCCCGGCCAAACGAATCTTTTTGGCCAGAACAAAAAGGTCTCTAGTTACCATGGCCCTGAATAGAGATTGTGACAGGGCCATGGCCGTAGAATCAGGGGCAGCTGTTGTAAGAATTTCCGCCAGTTTCCATATCCAGCGTGATTCTTTTATGAAATCAGCACCGAAATGTCCCAGATGTCTGTGAAACTAGTTACAGTGGTGGATGATAGAAAAAATTCTTATTAATCTGCATGATGGGAAGTACAATCATCTAATGTGTACTTTGAGTGATGGTAGTAATGAGGAGGTCAATACTTGAAAGCTGCAGGGTGAGTCTGGTGGTATTTTGAATAGGAGCAAATGTTTGTGGTTGCCTCGCTAATTAGGCTTTTCAGTGCTATGCCTGATCATCTACCCATGATTGATCTAATTTACTCAAACTGTATGCAGGCAGAGCTCTTATGTTATCTTGTCTAAAATGTGCACAGTGTCATGCATTCCAAATAAGTTCCATGATTCTAAAGTTCATTATGAAACTTGATGACTTTCATAGGGCCAGTTTATCATGATTTGTCGGAAGTAGGGTAATTTCTTTCTGCAAGCGTTGGACTGAGAACTTAGAGGGTTTGAAATACAATTGTTTTTTGAAACTACATGCACAGCTATTGTGAGTTTGTCGAAGCAGCGTGTTCTTCTAGCTTCTGTTCGAATCAGACGCAACCTTGGCCACTCACCTTAAGTTCTACAATTGGGTAACTTTATCGCATACGACTCTTTGATTCTGGGCCAAGCCTCATGTAACAAAGAAAGCCACTTAAGCCAAACATATCATGCTTGACTTTATGACGACTTTACCGTCATGGGAAAAACCCTTGTGGGAGTTTTAGTACACACCACAAATCAAAATCTCAAGAGCGTGTTTCCTCCATTTCTCGTTTTTGTGAATGTTTAAAGTTGAACTCATCGTGCTTTGAAATCCCACGAGGCTGTCTTCGCCCAAGAGCAAGTGTGCGGAGAAGACGTGTAAGGTGTTAGTCCTGTAAAAAAGATCTGTACGAAAAAATTTTTATGAAAACATTTGTTTGCTCTTCTTTTGCATTACGTACACATAATTGTTTGCAAAGATAGATTTCATGGGTTACTTTGTAATGTAAAGGTCGTAATCTTATCATCGGCCAGATATTGTGCAAAACTGCAACCAGCGACTTCACCATATCTTTCTATGGAAGTATCCAGATGCTTTCAGAGAAGGAGACGTGAAGTGAGAAATGGGGAACATCAATAAAGGCCACCTTAAGTTTGGTGCAAGTGCCTAAGACTTCTGATAGTTGACTATTATCAAATACAATCATTCAAAACGAGCGCTGTTCACTATTAGGTGTCCATACTATTATCAAAAATATTTGTCCCAACAAGAAAGAAGGAAATTATCAAGAACAACAAGGTTGAAAATTTCTTCTGTGTAATACGATCTAAAAGAAAAATTTTCGGCGTGTCTTCCTGCCTTGACCAGTCAGAACAGGTCAATACTCTTTACATTCATTTCTGTTTTTGAAATTGCAGGACCGGAAACGCGAAGCGAGGGACACGGGAACCTCACAGTCCATTATCCACCTAGTCGTCGGGTCAATCATCCTGACCGCAACCGTCTTATGCACAAAAGAAAGAGTTCACTGTAACTTAATATGAAGCTCAGATAGTGACACACACAAGCATTGGTTCTCAAATTAGGAACAATGTCATTCCTATTGAATTCAACCTCACGACTAGAAAGTTTAATCAGTAGATGCAGGAGTCCATTGCTCAGTGTATTGCAGAACAATCTATGCGCTTGTTAGGGTTGCACTTGCTTCTGTTCTCCACCATTACTAGACTCTAACTTGAACATATACAGTGACTATGAAAGCCTTATCACTTCGCTTCATTTTTCATCAGTGCATTTGTAGGAAATTCTTACTGTCTCAAGTTCCTAACTTCGACTTTCACCCTCCCGATCTATTAGCACCAATTTACAGCAGCCTTGAAACAGACGTAGCATGAATACAAGCCAGTAGGTTTCTAGACCTTGGTAAATACTCTTCCAGGTTGAGAATACTGACATGTGTTGATGATTCTCAAAAGCAAACCAGCGACTTTCATACAAGATACTTAAGTAACATAGGTGGTCGGTAAGCGCACAACTCGTATCCAATTAGGAAATACACTTAGGTAAGTTGTGCAATTCAGACATTTGTGTAGCTGCCGGCAGTTGGACCAAAAGAAGAATGACATCACATCGTAGTAACGGGATCTACTTCAGGTTGAGAAAATTGGTCTGTGCCAACCAATCATATACAAACAGAGTGGTGAAAATCACGTATGTTTTGTGTGGAGCTGATAACCAGTCCATAGCATTGTCCGATGGAAAAACTGCATTTTGTGAACTTTACCATGAGACATCTCATTACAACTGCTATCCATTGATACTCTAACAAAGAGATCAAAGGTATTGCCTGAATAAGTTACTGTACAAATCTGTAGATAGTGCATGTCGAATAGATAGGGGGAGTAGGTTCTATAAAGGATCATGGTCTTAATCTCTCGATCTACTCAGGGAAATGTGCCTTTTCTTCTTCATGATATCCTCCCGATGAGTTCTTTTCAAAATTATTGAAACTACAAACCACTAGGCTTCACAGTCTTCGGTTTGGTTCCGGTCTTCTTCCATGAAACAGCAGGAAGAATCTGCTCAAAATCTACTCTGTCTTTGTACTTCACAGCTACATTTAGAAGAGAATCTAACAACGCGTCACCAAGCAAATGTGGCTCAAGACCAAGCTCCACTAATTTTGAATGCTTGGCATTGTAGTAGTGTTCTTCAGCTTCCACACGGGGATTTTCCACATGGGATGTCTTCACTTCAATTCCAAGCTTTTCTCCTGCCTTGGTCACGAGTTTGGCGAGGTCATTTACCGAAAACTGTTCGGTAAACTGGTTGAAAACACGGAACTCACCTGTCTTGGCAGGGTTCAGTATTGCCAGCTCCAAACATCTCACCGTATCCCTGATGTCTAAGTAGCCTCTTGTCTGTTTTTCACATCATATTCACAGAAGGTAATATTAGAGACCCATTTTTCTACCTACTAATACAACCGGCAGAGGAATGAATCGATGAAAGCTATGATTACTAACATAAAAATTCATTCGCACCCATTACCTAACCGTGTGCAAGCATGTGTAGAGAATCGTCGTTTGAACTTGAGAAGAAGACACACAGTACTTTCAGTCTATTACTACACAACCAAAAGTTCACTATTAGCCGTACCTGGCCTCCTTTGCCGTAGACAGTCAGAGGATGTCCAACAGCAGCTTGCACACAAAATCTGTTCAATGCAGTGCCGAACACTCCATCGTAGTCCAATCTATTGATGAGCATCTCGTCCATAGCAGTTTCTGCTGTGTGTACACCGTACACCACACCTTGATTGAGGTCTGTGGCCCTCAAACCCCAAGCTTTGCAGGCGAATGCAAGATTGTGGGAATCGTGAACTTTACTCAAGTGGTAGAAAGAGCTGGCTTGCTTGGGGTACGGTAGAGTGTCAGTTCGCCCATTGTGGGTAATTGTGATGAATCCTTCTTCGATGTCGATATTGGGAGTCCCATACTCGCCCATTGTTCCCAGCTTCACAAGGTGACAATCTGGGGCAAACTCTTTGATAGCGAATAACACGTTGAGGGTTCCAATGACGTTGTTATGCTGGGTAAAAACTGCTCTGTCCCTGTCCATCATTGAGTATGGAGCCGATCGCTGCTCGCCGAAGTGTACCACAGTGTCCGGTTCAAAGCTCTTGACAGCATGCTCCAAAAACCCAAACTCGCAAATGTCGCCAATGTACACATCCAGAGAATTTCCAGACACGTCTTTCCACTTCTTTACACGCTTCTGGAGAGAGGCGATGGGTGTGAGAGTCTGAGTTCCGAGCTGTTCGTCGAACAGACGTCTGACTAAGCTGTCCACGATGGCCACCTCATGACCCTTCTTCGACAGATGAAGAGCAGTTGCCCACCCGCAGTATCCATCTCCTCCCAGAATCATAACCCTTTTCTTTTCGGATCCACCTGATTCTCCTACCAGAGAGGAAGGACGGGTAGGAGAGTCCTTAACGGCTGTGGCCCTTGCAATTCCGCCAACTCCAGAGATCTTGGTTCTCGTGGTGACAGTGGAGTTGCTGGAAAATGCACACTTCCTCCATATTTCGGAATTGAAGGCCTCGAGGCGTTTGGTTGCAGCGGCTCTTTGTGTAGCAGTCACTGCGGGACCCTGACAACCAGCAGAGCTCAAGGAAAGAGATGTAGCGCAAGCAGATGCGGCAGCGACCACCGCCGCCATGGCTTAGTTTCGGTCGACTAAAAGGAGAAAGAGTTCAGCAATGACCTCCAACCTCTAGGCCTTCAAAACGAGAAGACAAAAGAAAATGTTAAACCTTTGCTCAGCCTTCATGTAGTCAGTGGATTGAGCTCTCAAGCAACTATAGATGAAAACAGAATCAATTTAAACTCCATATGACTTTCACACATCCTGATTAAGACTCCAGTCGAAGAAGATGGATACCCCATTCACAGTCAGCTACTTCTCACACCGACAAAAAGGACAGGAATTGCAAATGTCGGACCATCCATGGAAATCCAGTTAAGTTAGCTCTTCAACTAAATGGAATTGAAGACAATGTCAGACGCAATTCGAACGCTAATTTCAACCTCGTTCTGCGCATGCACGATACTATATCATAAAGTCGAAAGTGCATAATCTTCTTCTTCCAGGGCACGATTGTTCACCTTAAGCTTCCAACCTGCGCCAGTCTAGACACACCCGAGCTCTTCCCTCTCTCGACGCGCCCTTCTCTCCGTCAGTAACAAGAGAGAGGGAGAGGGAAGCTTAGAAATACGGAGCTTTTTCCGGACCTGGCTTTGCAGCACAGTGAAGTACTGCAACGACAAGATGCCAGGATTTGCGAAATGCTGAAGCATATGCTCCAAGCTGAGGAATCCGTGTCGAACCAATCCTCCCAATACCACCAGGAGATCCTGGTTATCGGACAGATGTCATCTTTTTCCTCCTCCTAGTTGGTTGCTTTATCTACCGAGTCGCAACTTAAAGATGGAGTCGCCCATGCACGTGTGTCATGCTTGCAGTTGTCCTGGTCTGAATCCAGACTCATCAAACTCAATATAATTGTTTATTCGATGACTCTCGTTAGACTATGATATTACGTAATCTCACCTATTTTGAATACCTCGTTGTGAAGCTGTATATGGTAATAGGGAATTAAGGGAAGGTTAGTCACACCGACTGCTCCAAAGTTTCATGACCTGCTACAGGGAACTGAAAACAAGCTTTACGAACTGCCAACCGAAGCAGGATGCCATATCCAAATGTTGATGTGATGCGCTAAGAAGCATGGTGCAAAACACATTATCGACACTACAGGTGACGGGGCAGATTGAGCATCTGTCTGACTCCATGATAAGGTATAATTGATTCAGTTATAAAATAAGAAAGGAACCAAGTAGTAATTGGAATTCAAAATGTTGACAATTATTTTTGGATAAAGTCTTCATACATATTCCTACATGATTAAATTGTTTTGTTGAGAAGTGAAGCATGATACTTGCGGCCAAAAATTCCATATGATATTGAATATAAATGTAAATAAAGGCCAAGTTTGACCATTTACACTATGAAATGATAGATACTGCATGTATATATATATATATATATATATATCTGTTTCTTACTTTCTAATCTATGGCTTCTTTGGCAATAGTCTATGCAGATGGCGTTGATTTATGACTTTATCTTCATAGGCATCCTAAGATCGTAAGTATCATAAGACTTAGAATAGAATTATACAACCATCATATATCTATTCAACATATATAAAACAACATTTGTTTTTTTCAAGTTAGATATTTTATTATGAATTTTTAAAAATTAAAAAAAACACATATTTTTTGAACATCAAAATAAGTGTGGAATAAAACTATTTGGTTATTCAAATATTCTTCTGTAAAAACCTTAACATCAAAGTTTTATCAACCAATATACACACACTTCACGCAGAAAGCAATCAAAGAAGATATGTGATTCATCTTGTTGAACTATATCCAAGGTAACACAAATATTTCATTCGCAAAAAAATTAAGTTCTTGTTACAAAGAGATTTGGTCAACATTTGTGCAATAAATGGAAAATTCCGTTTTATTAAAAAGTATGATTTAAACCGTTGAAAAAATCTCAAATATAATCCTTAAATCGATTGATAAATTGCAAGATGATCCAACGGTTAGTTTTATCCCGGTTATTCTCATACATATTGATAAATAAACTAGTTTATCTAATCAAGCTTAAAAAAATTAATCAATATCTGAATTAAATACATAACAATTTTTTCTTGATCTTTTTCCCGGAGATTTAAAAACTCAACGATCAATCTATAAGAAATTTTTAGGAAAAAGATTCTATACAATTTTTCATTATTCAGAGCTAATTAATCTGAAGCAAAAGTCAAAAAATGATTAAATAAATCCAAATATAAAGATAAAAAAATTGCTATTTGAATTTAACTTTTTCTTCTTATGCAAAACTTGCAAAGCATCACTTGATCTTCAAACAAATAATCATGATCAATAAGTATGCTTGATTAGGCTCACATTCAATCTTGATTAGTTCAACCTTTTCATTAACAAAAGTAACTCTAACAAAATGATAGCAAATGTGAATATGCTTCATACTACTATTCATTATCTGATTTGCTACAAGATATAAAGCAATGTGATGGTGACATGTTTCTTATTGAATGAGAAATTTGTTTTATTCTTGCATATGTTGACGTCAAATTGATTTCTTGCCAAAATGAACATGTAAATTCCATAGAACAAAAAACTCAAAGATTTTATTAAAAAATTATTTAGATATCAATTTATAGATAAAATTTAATCCATGAAAATATTTTTGCTGGCATGAACTCATCGTATCTTGCATTTAATAATTAAAAAATGTGCTTCAATTCATATAATGATTTTAAAAATCTTAAAAATTAATTTTTACCTTTTCTTTTAATGATTAATTAACTCTCACATGTAAATTTTGTCTTTAAAAATTCATAAAAAAAATTTGTGAGTACATATTTATGACAATTAATTGATTTAAGATTGCAACAAATGCAGATCCTATATGAATTGTAGATATTTTGCTACAAGTAAAAACAGTTTATATCGCAAACCACATCTTTGTGTGTGAATCAAAACAAAATCCAACAATCAATTTGATTTTGAAGATTTTTTAAATTATATGTCTATTATTTAATTTTCTTTATTCACAAATAATACTCTCATCTTTGTAAAAACTTGTATTGTTAAAGAAGATGTTCATGTAAAAATTTATCAATATTTATATTTATCAATATAAATATGTACCTCAAATTGGTATTATAAAAAAGTCAAAAAATATACAAATCTCAATAGTTTGTAGGTTTAAATTCAAATTTAAATGTGTTATATAGGAAATTTGAATTTTAACTTTTTTTAAGAAAAGAATGGTATTTTTCATTCAATATCTTCGCAATATCATCATCATTCTCAAGATCAATATCACTATTTTCAAATAAAAATTAATCATTTCATAAATTATATTTCAAAGAAACTCTACTAATTCAATTCGATGATGTTCTGGTAGACAAATCTGGTAGATTTTTATTATTCGGTGCAGATATTTGAGTCTCATCAACAATAATCTAGTACTTGAATTGCTTTTCTTCAAGAATTTGCTTCGTTTGTACATAATCTCCTCCTTGTGTCATATCATTCATCACACAATGATCAATTCTATATTCAACAACACACTTTAGTTGATATTTGTGCTTGTTGGTAAGAGAAACTTGACAAATCTTCACCTTTTTCAATGATTAAAGTCCATAAAAAACATCCTACTTATGGTAATTTTACAAATTACTTGCTTTCATAACCTATGATACTTCACATCACTAACATATACAAAAAGAACTACACTTTTTCGATTTAAGAATTAGCTTGAATCTATATTCATAGATATGAAAGTATAAACAATATAATTAAAGATCTTTAAACAATTATAAAATTTCATATGTTTGTGCTTGAGTTCAAACAATGTCAAGATTTTGATTGCATTGGAAGTATAAAATTTATCCAATATACTACGGTTTTGATATTTTCAATCCAAAATTCATATAATAAATCTAATTGATTCAACATACTGTTAACCTTCTCCAACACTGTTCAATTGAGAATCTTAGAAATAGCGTATTGTTGCAGAGTATAAATCGTGATGAGATGACAAACAATCTGTTATTTTTTACAATGAGTTAAAAAATTCTTAAAATTATATTGTATTTATAAGCTATAAGTAAATATCTCACCTTGTGTCACTTTTGAAAGTTGTAAACATCTTAGATTTGTGTGTGAAAACATACATCTACACTAACATTGAATATTCATCAATAAAATATATTTTATTGATGACAAGTCAATAAAATATACATAATAAAAAATTTCTAAAGAATGAATAGCTTGGAAAAGATATTCACACGTCATTATGTACATACTCAAAATTCTGATGTAATTGTGAATTCATAACCAAAGATTTGCATATAATGATTCTCTATAACTCGATGTTCAGAAAACTCTACTTGAACTTTATTCATGACAAATTACAAGCTTTTAGCACCAATGAGTGTCATGTATCTATTACTTATGCATCATAGCGTAAAATATCAAACATGAGACATCTCAAATTGAGATTTAGCAGAGTTGACTTCACCACACATGATATGATAAAAAACAAGTGTTATTCATTCAATAGATTTAACTCAAAACCAAATGTGAAAATCCGAATGTCAAAAATAACAGCTAGAATCAATGTGTGTCACACACATAATAAATAGAGATGATACGTGGTTCACCTTGTTAGATTACACTTTACCAATAAAAGTGGTTCATTTGATCTTAGATCCGTATCCAAACAAATAGGAGAATACCAAAATTTGTTTCATTGTTTTTGTGCAACAAAAAATTGTATTCAAGAAAAGCCTTAAATTTGTGTCATTGAAATTTTAGATTAGTTATCATATATAATGAAGAATTATCTAACTTAACTAATCAAGTTAAACAAGACTAAAATTATGTTTTTAAATTAATAAAATTGATGTAAGTTTATAAGTTTTGAGAAAATATCCAAATTCTTATGTATGCTATCACAAGTATGTAAATGATGATTTTTAGCAATATATATTGATAATTTATATATATATATATATCAAAAAAATTCTTATCTTCTTAATTTTTATAATATAAATGAATTAAATGTAAATGTTAAAATGTAATATGGTGAAACTTAGCACAATTCGTATATATCTGAAAATGAATCCATTGTGACTTTGATAAAAATTAATTGAAGACATTTTGAAATCAATCTTAGTCATATTATTAGACTATATTTTTTTGAAAATTTAATTTTGCTGTATTTATGCAAGTTACAATAGACATATGAAGATTTATTTGAACAACTACTAATACAAGTGGATATGATCCTACAGGGATAGTTAGTTTTGTACCTAGCAATTATAGATTTTAGCAATAAACTACAATTTGATAAATATTTTATAATCCACATACTTATATTTCTAAGTGCATTACCTGCATTAGAACTTTCTCTTACACTAGCAAGTAAGCATTGCTAGCATGCAGATAGCTCGCATGTATCACCACTTTATCTTAGCCAGTATATATACTTATTTACTTGATATCTTTATATATCATTTTTCTCCATCTATCATAATGCATTTTCTTCAGTCATGCATCATTGTGTGTTAGATGCACGTCATTTAGTGTTTTACGAGTGTTACTGTTAATAGTACATTATAGAAATCTACAACATGAGTAAATCATCTACGAACTTATCAAAATCAACAAGCATTCTGCATAGTTGACAAGCATCAAAAGTATCCACAAGCATGTTGACATTGCAAGATTTACCAAATTTCGTAGTTAAGTATCAAATTTTGTTGGTTAAGTGTGTGGTTGGTTGAAGTCTCTTTATTGTTTCAATAAAGTCAAATTATTAGTCATGACTAAAATATTTTTTTTCTTAAAAATGTATAAAATATGTATCTTACATTAAAAAACAGATTCAACAGGATATTGAATTTAATCTTGTTGTCAAAATATTTAAAAATCATACGCATTTGAATTTGTGCTTAAAATTGAACTCATAGCCACAATATTGTTCATTTTAATTAGAAAGATACACATACTGATTGAGATGTCAAAAAAATAAGATCGAAAGGTTTTGAAATCATCCTAATTATCATTGTCATGAAATTATTATCAAAGATACCATTAGGATGAAATAAATTTTATGATCATGATCGAAAAGATAACTAGTTGAAAGGAGATTATTTAAACTCGCTGTCTTTTATATTTTGTCCAACCTTGTTTCTTATGGTAACCAGATGTACTTTTAATCCAAGAAGTTCCCTCTCCCCTTTGAAGTAGTACAACTTTTCGAGCTACCCTTTGGATCAGAACACTGATGTATTTCTAGTCGAACATTGTCTTCGAAAGTGGGACCTGAATGAAACTGCACAATGCAGTTACCACGTAAGGCCCCAAAATCAATGTCAATAGTGAATGAAGCTCCATAATGTGCATGCGTTCGTAAATCGAAAGCTCGGGGTAGCCAAGTCATCTGCGACATGAACTTGCTATTAATGTAGAACGCGGTGCCAACATCCCGAAACTGTGGAACATGTCAGCGTTCCCGCTCGATGCGGTGGGTTCTCTGAGCTTTTGAAAGTGTCCTAGGGTTGCCTACTGCATGTCGAGGTTTCGCAGTCTCGTGGTAGCTTTCGAGAATTCGCGCTCGAGTGTGAAAACGTGTCCAGGATTGGGGTAGAATTCATCCTTCATCGTCAGTAATCGGTTATTTTGATACTCAGCTATGCCGTCGGTCGAGCGTCGGAAGGAAAGGGAGTTCTGAACCTGATTCGGTGAATTGGCTGAAAGAAAGTTGGGAGTGTGGTGAAGCGCTATTTTGAATGTGGAGAGAGAGGTCAAAAGGCACTCGGAGACCTTCTCAAGGGCCGGAGAGATTGTCGAGGATGAGCTTTGCCTTGTTCTCCTCACTTGGAATATTGAAAGAGCCACAATTTTTAGGTGCCAACATATTTTCTCCTCGTGAGCTGTTTTTTTTCCTCGATTTGTGGTGATTCTCTGGCCTTGAGACCTTCTAGACACTCTCCCACATGAGCCGCGTGAGTCTGTCGGTTGTCGCTCAGGAGTTGGAGGGTCTCACAGACGATGAGAGGCGGGCCCTTCGAGCTAGCAGATTCCACTCAACTCCAACCTCTCCTCCTCCTCCAGATAGGCGCTCTAGGTGGGTTTTGAATTCGGCTTGAAAGATGATCTTTCTCCTTCCATGACAAGACCTACAATTGATATAATCGAAGGGAGTATCTAATAATTGTTGATACACATGATTGAAAATTACACTAAGTTGACTGGCTGCTATGAGCAGTTATTGAACCTCACTCGCCTTTCTCCTGTTTATAAGTCTTTTGTAGAATGCGACATATGAACTTTATGAAGTTTATATGAACTATGTGGCAAGTCCAGTTACAGGTCAGAATTCTGAAGCTGTCTGGAATTGAGTAGACAAATAATCCAGGACCTCCATGTAAATATAACCGACGCAGACAACCAGAAGCAGTGCTTTCGTGGCCCAGCAGGCTTGTAAAATGCCATATGGTCGTCCTTTCGTTTCGCACGTTGCGAAAGGATGACCTTCGGCCCATTTATCTGTTAAAAGACAACCCTGCATGTCACAGGTAGGCCTGAAGGTAAAATTTGTAGACTTTTAGAGCAGCTGGTACAAAGTAGCGAGAAGTCATATTGGGAGGGAGAAGGTGGGTTCATGAAGGTGTTGAAAATCAGATTCTCATGGTGTGGAGTGCTGCAATATTATAGGTTGGCCCATCCAGGAGGTGCTTTGGCCACAAATAAAGCAGCTGCCCTTGCTAAGTTTTTGAAAAGGAAGCTAGAGGAGCCTGGCGGTGCTGCAACATTGAATCCAAGTTTGGTGGAGCGTGCAGTGCAGAATGCGAAGATTACAACCCGTTCTGGTACTCAGACCCAACGTTTCTACATCTCTACCTCTTTATTCAGCTTAAGCACCCTCTCTTGATTGCCTACCTGTCCCGTGGGCGACTTGTGTCTTCTCACTTTATGTCGAACAGCTCTGAATTTATAGTGGCCTACTTTAACGTTTCATCATAATTCCGCCGAGTATCATACTTAGACTGTTTGGGACTCAAAACCCTGAATCCTCTTATCGATCTAGTCGTCTGTTGAGAAGCTTTTTCCGAATACTCATTTCAGCTTTAGTCAGAGGTTCGTCGTTATACAGTACTTCGCTACTGCTTTCAAAAATATCCACCACCGTCCAAGAAAAGTTTGATACACAAGGTTGTAATGCATGGCTTGGAAAATGCTCTGCAGTAGCACTTCCGAAGGTGCGGCATGTGGACTCCTTCTCAGATGCAGAAGAGGTGAGTTGATTGCGATTCACGAAGACCTTGATTGGTTTGGTTAAGTATCAAAGGTACTGGAGATTCAAAAGTTTTAGTGGCACTGCAGTGGCAAATGCTAGGGATTGAATTGTGATATGCAACTGTGTCGGAGGCTTGGAGAGGCTTGACTAAGTTCTCCTCCTATGGTAAATAAATTGCTTGTAAAGACAACTCCAAAAGTGACGAATGGATGGACGTAGGCATCTCCTGTCATATGCGCATGAAATGAATACTGCTGTTTGGTTTCTTCCTGTACCATCGTTCGCCGAATTTGTTGAGGATTGCTTCTAAGCAGGTAAGACAGCTGTCTTTAAATATTGGCTGCCGTGTGCGAGCTGTTCGAGGTGAGCATTTGACAAGGCTGACTTGGAAAGAGAAGAAGACATGGTAGTTGATCCGAACATGAAAGGACAGCGCAGAGTACGAATGGGTGACGTTAAGATTAGTTGCACCTGAAGTTTAACAGTCGGCTTCGAATGCAATTCCTCGAGTTCGATGATTTTAAGTCCTCCATGGCTCTCAGTGTCAATTTTGTTTTATGATTGACACAGAGCTTACTCACGTTCGAATAACATAATTTGTTCCACATCTGGAGCCAAGTTTAGTTCATGGGTCCCTTTGGCTTTCCAGGACAGTTTGGGGGTTGTTGCTTGGTGGCCTCAAGTTCCTCTATTGACTACACTTAATTTCTTCATTACAGGACCCGCACGAGGAGAGCAATGGGAACAAAGTCCACCCAGGTTGTGAAGTCGGTGCATCTAATAGCAAGAAGAAGAAGAAGAAATCTAAGGCCCAGAACCTGCTAAAACCTGCCGTCACAAAAGAAGTGAAGACAAAAGGTAATGAGAAGAAAAAGAAAATGTAGAATCACTTTGTGCGTCCTAAGGTCTCTTAACCTATCGGGTCGAGCACTACGTGCCTCTTCGGTCGCATTTGTTGAGCTGACCGAGACAGGGAAGTTGTTCAAATTAGTACTGAGGATGATATGCTTCGGCGTCCAGTGAAAAAATTGAAGACCGTAAAGATCCCAAGTTCTCAATTCATTAGTGGGCGATCGTCTTAACGCCCTGTAGTTCCAGCTCTCTTTGAGGCGCTCATGCTCTCGCAAGGTTTTCTGGATACGACCCAATCTGTTGTATAAAATGGAGCTGGAAGATTGACAGCGACAAGTGCTTTCAGTGAATCCTGCTCGTCCAAGTTAGTAGATATCTCGACAAGCCGATTGTTGCAGCGACATTCTCATCAGGCTTCTCTTGTCACGAGTCACAGCCTCTTTCCGCATGTAAGCACATCGTATGTGATTCTTCTGAAGAACGTCGCACTCTTTCTGAACGTCTCATCCAACTATGCCGGATACTGGAGTGTATGTTGTGTCGAAAGACAATGAAGTGTCTCGTCCCTGTGGAGATCAGGGAGTCTGTAGAGGGGACCCGACAAAGAAAATCTGTCCAGGTCGTCCAAGTTTCTGTTTTCATGAATGCATAAAGGCTTACGGATTTGGATTGTAATCCGCCGTGGCCAACTTTTCCACATGTTTCAGATACTTTGCACTATTAAGTTTGGGCTTTGAAAATACTTCGAATAACGTCGAACCGAGTGGTCGCATGGGTTGAGTTCCATTCGATTTGAGTTCTACGCCCTTCACGTCGGACACAGAAGGATGAAGATGACAGTGTTTTGTGACCTTCTTTCAAGCCCTGCCACCCTTCTATTGTACATCTCTGTAGGTCTTCCCGGTTAGCCCAAGCTCGGGAAAAATGGCGCTCAACTAACCTCCTGTTTCAAACAATCGTTCCCAAGATGTCTTCTGGGACTTAGATCGTGATACAGATGCTTGTGCATCATGCTTCTCCTTATTTATTAGTGGGGAAATTTTATTTTAGACGAAGACTGCTTGTAATCTTGAACATAAAAACGATGTACAGTATGCAACAGTCTCTCATGCAATAGATAAAATAGCGGGTCCGATGAGATTGTACTCTGTCAATCCTCGCTTTGCAAATCCCAACCCGTGTGTATTAGGTGTACTTGTTTGAGATATTACTAATTGCTGGAAAAAGTGATGCGATTCATCCCATACCCACAAGAGAAAGGTAACAATTGTCGCAACTCTCTGCCGCAGCTCAAGAACATACTTGCAGTTATTTCACTCTATCACACACGGGATCCCACTGGAAGCAGGCATGTGGGATTTAATACGCTCTTCAAGTAGAAAATAACGTCCACTAACAAAAACGACGTGAAGCAATAAAACAAGCAAAACGAAACCCCCAAATTTTCGCAAAACGGTCGATGGAATAGGTGAAGAAAAATTCAAATTTGCCTTCCCAGCTTGCGTGACACCGCGACTGTTGCCCTGCCGGGTTGCTTGCACACAACCTCCATGCAGCAGACTATTTATCGTGGCACTTCGCACGATATATCGATTTACAACTCATCTTTGTGAGATATTTCAGAACTGTCTGATTCCTCGACTTCCCTATCCCTATTTTCTTTCTCTACAATATGCACTACTTCTGAGGCATCTGCCACCTGTGACCTCGGTGGCACGGCGGATGTTTCCGTGCCAGCTATGAGTTCAGATTCAGGGTCTGTGGGCGATGGAACCTCTAAGAATGACCCTTTCAATCCACTGTCAGCATCTGCAACCTTTGAACTATCTGCATCTGTAATTGTGGAAGCAATAAAAGTATCAGGAGCAATGATAACCTCCTTGACTGTCTCGCTGCGTTCGTCTTCCTGGCTGAGGTCGCTGTTGACAGCTGTGCGACGCTGTACCTGCTCATCTACAAATTTCACTAGTTTCTTTAGATATGGTTTAATGTAACCCACCTCCGGCTCCTTGGTTCTGCCATCAGCGGAGTAAAATAGAATGGCGGGATAGTTGACAACCTTCAAGGCTGGATGCTCGTTTGCAGATGCATCAATTTTGGCAAAAATCAAGGAGGAGTCTCCCTTGAAATGCTTCGCCAACTTGACAAATGCTTTGCCCATGGATTCACAGTCGAAGCAGTACGGCGTGTGAACTAGAAGAACGAGATCCTTTGGGCTTTGAAGCACGAGGGACTCGAAGGTTTTCCCCACGACAACTTTGACGTCCCCGTTGTTCTCCTTGGGTATCCGCTCCGACTTGTAATGCAGGTCCAAATTTCCTCTGACAAATTTCTCTGCGAAGGTCACCAGATTTTGCTCATTGAATTCTGCATCCATCACGTACCTCAAGCCGTTGCTGTTGTCAAACCCAGCCACCACCAATTCGTCGTCTGGGATACCATACATGGTCAGCATGGGCTTGGCAAAATCCTCATCGGCATTGTCCACCCACACGAACATCAACGCATTCTTGAATCTCTTGGCCACGGCCTTGTAGAGAACGCGAACCGCACTGACCTCCTCCCTGCTTCCGAAAAGAATCACCTGCTTCTTGACACTGCTGGAATAAATCTTGCCTACATTTTGAGAACTCAATTGCGTGACCACCTCAAACTTGTTCAGATTCACAAATGCTGCGAGATCCTCAGTGTTAAAAGCACCGTCGAACGTCTCAAACCCTTCATCCCTCTTCCACAACCCGAAGGAAGGAACGCTATCCGCCATGGCGGCACTGAAGGCTTTCGCTGCTCCAGCCTCCGTCGTTCGCAAAAACTCGACATCGGAAACCTCCATGGAAGCAGCTAGAAATTGCTCGTAATCAGAGCCCTGAAACTCTTCGAATCTTCCGATCACCACCGTCTTATTCTTACTGAGAATCACCTCTGCCTCATCGCTCGACGACACTGTGGTTGCAGGATGCCCGGTCTGCTTTTGAATCCAGTTCACGATCTCGTCGCTCGAGAGTCCTGCAGGGAAGATTTCGTCCGATCCGTTCCTGAAAAACAGAATGGTCGGGAAACCTTTGATCTTGTAACGCCCTGCTGTGATCTGATTGACTATGGCATCGATCTTCGCTAATACTACAGGGCTCCCCTTGGAAGAGAGGACGGTTGCAGCCTCCGTGAAATCGACCATCACAGCAGCACTCTGCCGACACCAAGATGCGTAGCCTAGAACCAACACAAACTCGTTCGACTGCAGGATTTTCTCCGAGTTTTGGTCGTTGAGCTGGACCAATAAGTTGCGTGAAACCTTGCTCTTACTCGCTGTCGCGGGCTCCTCATCGTCTTCTATGTCTTCCCAAAAGTCATCGTCGTCCACTTCCGCGCGGGGTGCATCTACATCTACATCCTCCATACAGGCGATCAACTTCGGCAGTGACAGCCCTAACGTCACCACCAACAACAACACCCATACCAAGCCCCATCGCCGCATCCTCCCTATCTCCTATCTCCACACCGAACCACTCCTAATCCTTCCCAGTTCCTCTTCACAACATCGACAGCGAAATGTCGAAGATCGCAAGGCTCCTCCTCCAGTCTAGTCAGACCCTACGAAGGAAGGAAGCAGTCAGAAGGCGGAGCACCGATTCCCGTAATCTGCGCCGACTACCTCCTCTGAGGACCGCAGCTCGTCAGTCTATTGATCCGATCGCGCTTCGACTGTGGGACGAGAGGCGAGTAGTAGTAATAAGTGCTCGGCGTTTCTCATGGAGCCGCACCGTTCTGCGGCGATACGAGCTGACGAGGAGGGAGTGTGACAACGACGGATCACCTGTGCTGCTGCGGTGTGAGACAGCGGTCGTGACCTGATGTCGAAGTCCGTGAGTTCAGAGGCAGTTCACGTTGTCGTTCATTGTCCGCCATCGCCGCTTGAGGACCTTCCTTGTCACTTTCACGATTGTCAACGGGGCTCCAGAAACCCACGGGCTACGCTCTGAACAGAAGAATCCGATGCCTGCCTTCGAGATTCTTCTTCCTAGTTACATCCACATTTCGCCGTAAGGAAAGGCGTAATTTCAGGATTGTACTCTGCTCACGCCGGTGAGTTCCAGCAGTGATGATAATCGGAGAGCCAGCGAAGAAGTAGAGTGGGGAATGACCGACTGTTGCCTCGGAAGTTCCAATGCTTCTGTGCAATGATGGCCGCGTTTACACGAGGATTAGGAAATCGACGGGTAAAAGAAAACGTTGGACACCTGACGCAGGGGAATCGGATCTGGACCTCTAATTTTTGCAGCAACGCACATTTTGTTCAAAGAAATTCTCCTTCATGCTCCGCGATGTTAATGTGGTTTTCTGTAGACCAAGTGATTGCACGCTGCCATTTCACCTGAGAGCCACAGAGGTCTGTCTTTAAACGATTGATTTGTATTTTCCTTTTGGTACGAGGAAATGAATGTGTTGCCTACTGTACTTCATCCCTGATCAAAGCTTCTAAGATCTACTTGTAAGAATGCTTCAAGCATACTACCACTAAAAATCGACATCTTGTTTCGGAATATCTCCAGTACGAAATTTAGACGAGGAAAGGAAGGCTCTACGGAGCAAAATCACAAGAAATACCCAAACCTCGAGGTCAATCAAAACGTCTACGTATTGGAAAGCATCAGGTATGCTCAGTCATGCTTAATTTAAGCGATCGTATGGCGTAGCGCCTAATTCACCTAAATGTACTCTCCCTTTGGAGACTAAATTAATGCTAATATGGTAAGCCTTCCCCCATTTACATAATCTGAATGGGTTGTTATGTTATTCATCAAAGACAAGGTAGTAGTGTGTCTTTAGCATCTACAACCCACTATCATATACGAGATATCCAACTTTTTGTCAACTTACACCAAGAACACATCTTTATATTGTCCATTTTCATATTGACTTAGCACTCATTCATTACCCTTGACTTTTTGCCAGAATATTTCAAACCTATTTTTAGTGTTTGAAGAATACAAATACCTCTGTCTGTTCGGTTCAATAAAATCTGAAGTTGGTTTGACTAGTGGTAAGTTCACGAACGTATAATGGTTTTTGCCCTCTTACGGAGCAGAAACTAGCCGCACAAAATGGAAGCAGGAGTCTGCTTGAACTAAGAAAACTAACCTCTAACTAAGATTTTGGTTCCAAAGCAAATTGAATACTCTGCGCAAAAAGTACCTCACATCTTTCGAGAACTCAAACCTATTGTGAACTCAAATGTGCGACGGTGATCCACCAGTGGACAAGCTGACACCTCTGTAGATGGATCTTAAATATCAAAGACTAGTTTGTAGCAACTATGGTGCGATGTGGATGCAAAATGTCATGGAATGCTTTAAAACAAATTTATTTGAAATGTAAGGGCTGTGAGTTGTGTAAAGTTGCATGTTTTTGCTCCATTGTGTTTTTGACTCTCATACCGAGCAGTTTAAAAGAAAAACTAGCCGCATTTCCAGCAATCAAGATGGCTTTGAGGGTAACTCTCTTCAATGTAAAGTTGAATGCAATTTATGAGATTGTTTGTGAATAAAGATGCAGTTTTATTTTCCTTTTAACAAGTTTCTTTGTACTGCAAAAGAAGAAATGAGGTTGTCACTCTTATCTTAGATCTTCAAGTTGCCTTGAAATGAGACATTTGGAAGAGTTTTTTTTTGTGACAAACTAACAGCCACCTAAGTTAATTAAGTTAATTTTCATGACGAGACTAAATTAAATTCATTTAGTCTAATGACTAATATAAGCATGCATGGTATAATTTCTCACTTACCATGAACTTAAGGAGTAGTAACTTCACAAGCCAAGGTGACAATACCTAACTAGCATGGCAAATCCCTATGATTGTCTAGCCAAATGATATATATAATCAATGAATGTCCCTCTTGGAGATATGACGGAATTAGTCAATTTCTCTAGTACCAAAAGAGTAGTACTACACCATTCACTCCTAAGACACGAAGCAACATAAGCTTGAAGTAGAGCAATTCTATGTTCTCATGGAGATATGTCTATGGGTGGTTATGCTACTATTTTCTATTTATGTCTCAACGACTGCACATAAAGGGTGTTGATAGCTAAACACTTCTCAAGGTTAATGAAAAGAAACATACGGATTATTTTCTTTGTTTGTAAGATTGCTTATTACTTATCCATGTAACTATTTTGCGTTGTGATAACAATTACATGTCCAATTGATCTTGAAGCCGGTTTTTCATTGGTCTTTCATTGAATAAGCGATAACATTACGCTAATGTAGTCCACTCTCTAATCACTAAAAAAAATGTCACAGTTGCTTCCTGAAGTACCTCATGATGATGATGATAGATACTGTCAGAAAGCATATGTGCTACATTTTTTTATGGAATCTTGAGTATCATAGGTCTAAAATTTCTATATTTAATAACATCACGGGCCATTATAGGCTCCAAGCTTTTGCATATAAATGGATGGCCTTAGTTAGCACAAAGTTGCATTTGACAAAAGCAGAGTGTAAGACATGACATTACAAGCCAAATAAAATTGGTGTTGAAATGCGGAGTGATGGAAATAGCAGCCTCGACAATGAGTTAAACTTATTCATCAAGGCTTGGGGAGAAATCTAATTGAATTCTAAACTTTAGTGGAAGTGACTCATTAGCCCAGATTCTTGTGAAGACTTGTTATTGATGATTATACACTAAATTTTGTTGCTTATTAGACTCAATTTCATTTATGACGGTTGAAAATTTTGGCATATGAGTTGCAATCAGTGTTTCGTTTAGGTTTATTTTCAAAATGCCACTTGTGGCGTTTTGCCCCATCTTTCTTAATATTGAAACCGCCACGCTATGGCTGTTGGATACTCATTTATTAATTTTGTTTCAGCCACATGTGGCGTTTTGGTTGTATTGCAGTAAACATCTGCCGCCACGGCTCTCTGTGGCGTTTTGATTAGCTTTCTTCCAAATCCTGCCGCCACAGGGCAATTTTTCTGCACATAGGGAAGTCAAACACGTTCCTCCGCTGTACTAGTCTAACCCGCTTGACTATTGACTCCTTCTAGTTCATGTAGCGCTCTTTGACTGTAACCTATTTTGTCAACGCAACTAGATATGAAAAGCTATGCACTGTGTAAGACGAACGCTTAACTCAAACACATACATTGAGGTGCTTTGGTCCTAGGCAATTGCGCTTTTTGTCTTTGAGGTAGTTCATAGTAGAGATGACACGCCACAGAGCCTATTGGAATAACTAGCATAACCAATTTGCAAAAAGCACTCAATGTGTTCGACATGATGTCATTTACTAGGATTTCCAAAATGACTGGGTTGTGTCCCGATGGCTGCCTCCTCCACAACATTTTGCATGAGAGACTTGAAGCTATCCTCCTGCAACTCTACCTCAATACGATCTACTAAGGCTGACACTTCTATGTCATTGGCCAGTTTGATGATCTTCCCATATTTGTTGTACAAGATGTTCAGCTTGATATTAATATCTTCATCAGAAGACTTCTTCAGCCAATAAACTAGCTGCCAAACAACAAAGGCCTCAAGCACTTCAATTTGAGGAAACCTTTGAGGTCAGTCACTAACAACTTGGCAGTGTTTGTAGCTGATTTCTTTGCACGACCTTGAGCTGCATGAAAGCAACTCTCAGTCACCAAGGAAATTTTTGTGTGCTGATTTGCTCCAGCCCAAGGCACTGTGAATGTGTTGGTGATGTCGTGCATGAGCACATTATCCTACTTGACATTGGTTACAAACTGCAAAGTGTCATCATCACTCTCGCACAATAGGCTAAGCTTCCTACCCTCTCCGTCATCAATTAGTTCAACAAAGTCCTTCCACACTTTGCTTGTGAACATCTTGTCGCCCTCTAAGTATTCCTGCTTCAATGCAATTGATGTGTTATCAACCTGGACACGCAGCTAATCAAACAGCACATACCGCGGTTGACCGAACTTGCTGAGGTACCCCAACAACTTGAATTGCCGCATGAAGACCCGGTAGCCAAGCATGGTATCGATCTTCATGAATTGCGCATATAGCTTCTTAGCAACCAGTTTGGTTTTCTTGTTAGAATCTTTGGAGGTCATGTCATCACGCAAGGCGCTGATAAGGAATGCATACTCCGTGATGATGTTCGACAAGCAAGCTTTCATAGATAGCCATCTAACATCATGCACTCAAAGCATGCGCAACCTGGGTGTGTTGCACTCATTTGCATGGTATCTGAAGCCAACCCAACGTTGAGATGATCTAGCAAAGTACAAATGAGCACCATTGACGGCTGCATCAATCTGTGCGTATAGAGCATACTCGATGATCACAACACCCACAAGAGCAGTGTTATGGGCTACACAAAAAACTGGAAACATGGCGGAAGCCACCTGCTTGACGAGTTGCATTGCTACCCCGACATGACAACCTATCATGGTAGACGCACCATCACTACCAAAAGCAACAAACTTGAGATCCAAATCCTCTCCAGACATGCCTAACACGTTTTGGACAGACGCTAGCAGTGCTTTGGTAAGAGACGTAGCGTTGGTAGTGGTGAGTGGTTGAAGTATGAGAAATTCAAATCTGCGCTGGCCGTCCTTGATGAACAAGATCTCATGGGACATATATTGAGTAAGATCACATGCGCTACTGTCATCGATGGTGAGGGTGATGACGGGCGAGTCATTGACACGATGCATGAGCTCCTCTACTAGGACTGCATCTAGGGCATCAGCCATTTTCCAGCCAGAATCATTTGTCCAATGGGAGCTGCCAATATGTTTGCAGCCGGCAGCACGAAATAGGTTTGTGATATCAGGAAAGCTGCAAACAAGATGAATGTATGTAAGCCACAGTTCAACTAAGCTTTGAGTAACAGCATGTGCGTTGTTTTTTAGAGGCAGCAGGTTGCACATTTGATACAAAGGCCGGGTGAACTACTAGCAACAGCACTTAGGAAAGACTTACTCGCTCATTGGACGGACCTTGAGCAAAAGGTAGAAAATTGCTTGAAGCTACACTAGCTTCTTGCGTTTTGCATTGTCATGGGTGGCGTTGATGGCAGAATGAATGTCTTGTTGCTAGAGTTGACGGAAGGGGCTGAAGTAGCAAGATAAGGTTAGCAGCTTGAACTATAGCAAGCGGGATCAAATGGCAGCAGGAAATAGCAAAAGCAAGTCAAATCTAATAGA